TAAGTGATATAATTAAATTTTTCTTTTAATTTGTAAAAGCATTTAAGAAAAAACAAGAATTGTCATTCAAAAAAATGTTGACATGGTATCAAAACCTATTTAACAGAGGTTGATATAAAATATACAAATAAGTCATATATATATATATATATATATATATATATATATATATATATATATAATTTTAGCTTTATATGCTCACTACGAGTCCTATATTAAAAAAAAAAATATATATATATATATATACAAAAATAATTAATTTATTATGTAAAAAAAAGCTAAAATGACCAACAAGTATTAAAGTATATATATGTGATCAAAATATTTACTTACTTAGTAATACGAAAGACAAAAAAGTTTATTCAAGTGATTGATATACTTTTTTCATTTAATATTACATAGATATAGATGTAAATTTATTGAGTTTCTTCTCATTAACAATATATAGTTTGCCTGAAAAATAGGATAAAAATCTAAACATTTGTTCAAATTTTAAAAAAAAAAAATATTTTTCAATATTTAAATATAGATTTAATCTATAAGAGCCTAAACATCTCATCCCTTCCCCTATATATAATTCCCGAATGCATTGAGTCTATGTGGCTGTTTCTAGTATTTCGTAATCCTACTTGGCGAAAAATCATGCTTCGTAATTAGGTTTGGACAAATAATATTGATATATTAATAATTAATAATCTAAGTTCAAACATTTCATAAATATTATTTAGCTAACTTAGGTATTTTAATATCACTTGTACTAATATAATTTATTTTCATATATACAATATGGATGTCAAATCGAAGATCATAAAAAGATGATCAATTTGTTATATTATATATGTAAAACCGATAAGAAATACAAAAGTTATCAACTTTTGAAATACTTTTACAATTCAATAGCTAATTGAAGGAAACAAATTAAAATTCAGGGATATATTAGTCACTTAGTATCTCACTATATAAAATTACAAATAATTAAAGGGTTATATTAGTACAAGTGATATTAAAATACCTAATTTAGCTAATAATATTTATGGAATGTCCGAACCTAGATTATTAATTATTAATATATCAATATTATTTGACCAAACTTAATTACGAAGCATGATTCTTCGCCAAGTAGGATTCCGAAGCACCAGAAACAACCACGTAGGCTCAACGCATTTGGGAATTATATATAGGGGGATATATATGAAAATAAATTATATTTATGTTTATAATAATACAAAATAATATTATTTATTAAAATTCATTAGAAAAATAAAATTATTTCTCAATTCATATATTATGTTTAATGTAGTTATATGTTGTAAGTTGAAAAAATATTATAATATAACACATGTAGTCGCACAAATAAAAAGTGGCGTACTAAATATATAATAATATATATATTTGTATAAAATGTATTTGAATTTTCAACTACTTTTTCTCATTAATTTAGATTTTAAGAAAAAAATTAGCAAGCACCCGGGTAATACACGGGCGTTGTACTAGTTTTTACATTATTTTCAAAATTTAGCTTTTCGTGAAACATAATAGTTATATTATACAACTAGTACGTATCCCGTGCGATGCACGGGCCAGATGTGTTAAATGACTCATTTTAATAAGACATGTCCTTTTAGGCTTAAAAAATAATAGAGTTAGATCTACTTCTTGTAATCAAGTTGTTTTTAAGTCATCACGTTAAACTCGAGCATATTAGCTCCAGTCCATAATTTAATATATTATATGTAGAATCATTTATACTAATAAAAAATAATTTTCGTATATAAGGGTGATTGTCCTTGAATCTCCAGAAAATTACGTACCAGTTTTTGTTGCTTTTTCGTATTAGTCATTACGATAGGACGATGACTCATTATATTTCTAAAAAATCAATAAAAGTCAATATTATTATTGAACATATCATTAAAAACAAATCAACAGTAAATTTAAAATATAAATTAACAAAATATATAAAAAAAAATTGTTTTTAGTAATACTATAAACAATTAGTATTTTCTTTAATTATTAAAAACAATTGTAAAGTAAAAGAACACTAACAATAATTTTAGAGACCATCACAGCATGACAACCAAACAAAATCTGACACTAATTTAATTTTGGCCCAATACTATTAAATTTTTGGACATTAATAATTAGCTCATATGTTCGGTCCAATGCGCCATGTAGTGTTGATCCTTAGTTTCTTATGAAAGTCGACGTAGACATCCATCAACTCTTCATTTCGTTAGTGAGCAATAGCCCTGCTAAAACGTGTGAAAAAGTCATTCAACGAGCATTTCTTGTCGAGGTACCTCTTGAAGAACGCATGATTACTTTCAACACGCTGGCTACTTGACATACCGGCAGAAAATACATGTTTTATGTAAGCCGGAACCCAGCGATGTCTGATTTCATACATTTTGGATAACCAGTCATTAGCACTCAATTGAGAATCATTCATCAATGAATTCCACCTTACACTCAAACTCGGTCGAACTCTCCGATTCATCAATAATTGCTGATAAACTATGTTGATGTAGCTTATAGACAATGGGATCGAGTTTCTCAGAGAACTTGTTTAGTATATGTCAAATACAATACCTATGAATAGTATCTAGAAATACCTCACTCACAGCAAGAGATATAGCAATGTCTTGATCAGTTATAATGATATTTGGATGAGGTTGGTTTGGCATTGCTTCTAGAAATTTAGTGAATAACCACACAAAAGACTCGTGTTTCTCATCACTAAGCAACCCGACCCCAAATACCATTGTCTGCCTATGATGATTCACATCAACAGAGGGCGCAAATACCATTCCATACTTGTTTGTGTTATATGTAGTATCAAAGACAATTGTATTACCAAACAACGCATACGAATTTTTGGAGTCTCTATCGGCCCAAAAGCACCTCATGAAAATACCCTCACCATCTGTCTCATAAACATAGAAAAAATTCTCATTCCTTTCATTTTCCATTTCAAATTGTTGAATCATTGTGTGCGCATCATGTTTATTCACTTCAGCCCTATGCGCAACTTCTTTATTCTTGATATCCTCTCCAAACATCCCATCATGGACGGAATGTTTGTCTCTCTATACTCTTGCATTAATGCTCTTTTCGTAGCCGACACACCACGATGGGATCTAAGTAGATGAACCTTCCTAGGGTAACCAGTGGATGATTATGTTGTTCTATAAAATGCTTCACAACCCAAACTTCTTTGATTGTACAAACCCTCATTCGAGCTGGACAACCACATCTCGGTTCTCCCATTTTCCTTTCCCCCGTTCGAACCACAACATTTTTACGCTTATTTCTGTAGAATTCATTTGTTTTCCCTTCCTTCGAGCAAGTGAACATCTTCCATACAAACATATTGGTTTGTTTATTTTTTTTATTTTATTTTTTTTATTTTTTTTTGCAATTTTGCGTACGAATGCTAAAGCCTACTTCGTTTGCATACGTATTGTAGAAATCTCGAGTCTCTTCCCACGTCTGAAATTCCAAACCTTCATGAGGTACTTTGGCCTGATCGATTTGAGTAGTAAACTCTTGCACATCTTGCTCGACCTAGATGCCTACAGAAAATAATAATAATCCACATCTTCAAATCTTAATTTACATGAGAAAAAAAAATCTTTTCATTCATTCATGAGTTTTCTCTCTTGGCCTATGTTCACTCTTCAATTGTTGTTGTGATTAATTGAAAAAAAAAACCTAGAAACATTATAAAAACTTACTTGAAGAAGCCATCGTGAGTTGAGTTTTCTTTTTTAAAGGAGCAGTGATTGATTCGAGAGAAGATAAGAAAAAGACATAATAAAAAGTGATTAATCGAGAAAAATTTTCTTGAAAGAGAAGATGTATGGAAGAGAAAAAGTATGAAAGTGATCGGTAGAAAAAGAAGGGTAAAAAAACAATTAATTTTCCTTAAATATATATATATATATATATGATATAGGATATTATACTGGACCCGGTTTAATGGATAAAGCGGATATGTATTGAAGGATAAACCCACTAAGACATCTAAGCCCAACGATAGGGGTCAAGCCCAACTTGGGCCCAAAAGGTACACTCCCCCTATAAAAGGGGGCCAAGGTACCTCATTCTCTCATTCTCTACTCATTTTGATGACTACACTCTCTCTCTTGATATGAGGACTGACTTAGGCATCGGAGGCCGGACACCGGGGCCACCCCCGGTGTTGGGTTCTGCAGGTACGGAGGCCGTTCGAGTCGAAGGAGCCGGGTGAAATTTATTCACTTCAATATATATATATATATAATTGCTGGCATATAGCATTTAATAAAACATATTTAATAAAACCTCTAAAATTTACAATAATAATTCACAATAAATATAAATTACATAATTATAAACAATTATTTCAATTTATTTATTTTAACATCAATTTTATCTGTTTTCTTGTGTATCTCATGAAAAAGATTCTTTAAAAACAATTAATAAATTGTTTTAATAGCATAGTCAAACAACTTTAGAAGCTTATAAATAATTTTTTAATAATAATAATAATAATAATCAAGCTGTTATTATCTAATGATAATAAACAATTGTTCATAATAATAAAATCATTAATTTATTTTTCCTAATCATCAAATTTTTGAAAAATTTTGTAATATGTTCATTATCTAGAATTTTAATATCAAATTCTCAAATATTATTTATAATATTTTATGTACATCTATACATCTACACATGATATCTACTAGTTATAATTAATAAAGGATTAACAAAAATAATTATTAAATTAAATCTATCTAAAATCCAATTAGGATGACACGCAAGCAGCTGGTTTTCTCAGTCGACAACAAATAGTATATCAATTTCAAAAAGTGATTGGACTAAAAGTCTAAAATTAAAATTTTACCTATATAAACAGGTAGACTATTCAGGATGGATTTGCCAAACAAAATTCACGATCTACCCGCGAAACCCTAATCTTATTTATTTTCGAACAAATTTCTTCGGACATCGGCGAAACAATGCCGTGCGATTTACCTGTTGATTTATCGGCGGCTATGGAGGATCTAAGCGTAGAAGAATTTTCGCAGTGTGTACCGATCAGGGCTATTTTCAGCCGGCCGGACAAGGGCAAGGGTTTGGCCGGCCGGAAAATTACCATCGGCGGGTGGGTTCGGAGCGGCAGGGTGGCGGGCGGCGGCGCGTTCGCCTTTCTCGAGGTGAACGACGGGTCGTGTCCGGGTACTCTTCAGGTGATGGTGAAGGCGAGTGAAGACTGCAAGCTGCGAGACGTGGTGCTGACGGGGACATCCATCCACGCTGAGGGCTTTCTCAAGCTGCCGCCGGAGGGTACGAAGCAAGATATCGAGATGGAGGTGGAGAGGGTTATCAACGTCGGGGCCGTGATTAACGCCGCCAAGTACCCGTTGCCCAAGAGCAAGTCCAAGCTGCCCCTCGAATCTATCAGGGATCACGTGCACCTTCGGCCGAGGGCCGCAATTGTACGTTTCGCCATCTCTCGATGATGCTTAATTATTAGATTGATTGTTTTCTTTTTTTCTTTGTGTGCGCTCTGACTATCTACCTGTCTAGGGTAGATCAATTATGTGTTTATAGGCATAAATTCATACATAGTATTGTCCTCTATTCGTATTCTCTATTAGTAGTTCTGATGATTTAGATGGAGTAGCTCATTCTTTTATTAGTTTCTAGTGGCACTTCCTATTCAGACGGTTTTCACATATAATGGGCACAAGGATCAAGAGTGATACTTGTAATATCGGATAGACTTCTATCAAGATCAGTTTTTTTTTTTTTTTAATTTTATTTTATTTTTGTTTTTTCTTCTTTTCTCTGCTAAGTAAACCAGAGTTATTCTTTTTAATTCACAAACATAAATTGTTGCTTAATATAGTGCCGACTGAGTTTTATAAGATAACAATTTTGTGGTATATGCTTGGGTGCTGCTGCTCGTGTTTGAATCTGATATGGTTGATGTTGACCCACAAATACATGATATAGTGTGTGTGCACTTGGAGACATATATGGTACCTTTCTCTAATCTCTTACCTTTTCTCAATGTTGTTGAGTCTAGATATCTTCAGTCTCTAGAATACGTAACGCGTTGGCATATGCTACCCACACGTTCTTCCAAAAGCACGGTTTCCTTTACGTGCACACTCCAATTATCACAACCAGTGATTGTGAGGGTGCAGGGGAGATGTTTCAGGTCACAACACTACTAAGTGACGCGGAAAGACTAGACAAGGAGTTTAAAGCGAGTCCTCCTCCCTCAGAAGCGGACTTAAAAGCTGCCGAGCTTGCCATCAAGGAGAAAGGGGCAGATGTTGCCCAGCTCAAATCCGCCAAGGCGAGCAAGGACGAAATTGGTGCTGCCGTTTCTGAGCTCAATAAGGCGAAAGATGTATTTTCGAAGCTGGAACAGAGATACAAGCTGGGAGAGAGGCTTAGGGTTTCTAGTGGCATTCCAAAGAAGGATGGCAAGATCGATTATGCAGAAGATTTTTTCTCCAGGCAAGCATTTCTGACCGTGTCTGGGCAACTACAAGTTGAAACATACGCTTGTGCACTGAGAAGGGTGTATACATTTGGGCCAACGTTTCGAGCTGAAAACTCGCACACTTCGAGGCATCTTGCAGAGTTTTGGATGGTTGAACCTGAAATAGCATTTGCTGATCTACAGGTATATGCATGCGAGCATGCCACTTATAGAATTAGCTACAGTTGCATTTTTTTGAGTAGATGAGAAGGAGTCAGGTGGAGTTTGTTGCCTAATTAGGCCTGCTTGAATTAAATTATGATGTTAGAACAACTGGTTATAATTTCAATCACACACAGGCTTAAATAAAAGAAGGTATGAGGGGCCAATGAAGAAGAAGAACAAGAAAAAGTTGGGAGAGTAAACAAAACGAAAAGAAAAAAGTCAATTCATTGCCAATCTTCTGTATAATATATGCATTTCTAGCGTGAAATAACATGATTAAAAACATCAATTTGTAGGATAGCATGAATTGTGCAGAGGCATATGTGAAATTTCTTTGTAAGTGGTTGCTCGACAATTGCTCGGATGATATGGAGATCATAACCAAAGCTATTGACAGCTCTGCTGTACAACGTCTTAAAATGGTTTCCGGTTCCACGTTCCGTAGAATAACATACACTGAAGCAATCGCCATTCTTGAGGAAGCAGCTAAAGTTAAGAAATTTGACAACAAAGTGGAATGGGGTATTGATTTAGCGTCCGAGCACGAAAGGTAAAATTTTTCTGAATATAATTGATTTTTGGCCTGCATGAAAGTTATTTTATACATGACTTGAAAAGTCTCTTGCTTATTATACGTCACTTTCGTGAATATAGATTCTTGACTGAGGAGAAATTCAAAGAACCTGTTATTGTGTATAACTACCCAAAAGCAATCAAAGCATTCTATATGAAAGTGAATGAAGACAAATCCACTGTTGCTGCAATGGATGTGCTTGTACCTAAGGTTCTCTCTCTCTCTCTCTCTCTCTCTCTCTCTCTCTCTCTCTCACACACACACACACACACACACGGGCAAAAAACCTGCGTGTAGTTAGATGTACACGCCTACATTTTTGTTTTATTTTCAAGTTTTCCATCAATTTTTTTGATAAAACTTGCGATGAGCGTCTCCACAAAATATGATTTCAATTTGGTTTTTGTTAGGTGGGCGAACTTATTGGCGGCAGCCAAAGAGAAGAGGATTATGAGGTGCTGAAGCAGAGGTAAACGAAGCTTTTGACTATTATACTCTTTGTCTCTCCATATAATATATATATATATACATACATTTGAAAAAACGAAACTTGTTAATATATATATATATATATTGTTTCAAGGATTTTGGATGTGGGCCTGCCCGTGGAATCTTACGACTGGTATCTTGACCTGAGAGCCTATGGGACTGTGAAGCATAGTGGTTTTGGACTAGGATTTGAGAGGATGATCCTCTTTGCAACCGGGATCGACAACATCAGGGATGTAATCCCTTTCCCCAGATATTCTGGTAGAGCTGATCTGTAACAATATTACCCAATTATTTATTAATTAACCTTTTAGGAATAAGGTCTTGTGAAGATAGCTGAATTATTTATTAATTAATTATTTATTAATTAACCTTTTTAGGAACAAGGTCTTGGGAAGATAGTTGAATTATTTATATATTTAATCGGAACAAGGTCTTGTGCTGAATTATTTATTAAATAATCTTTTAGGTTTGTTTAATTTATTTTTTTTAGGTTTGTTTTGCCCCTTGTGGTTTGTTTTCATCGAGTGCCCAGTTTATTTTCTAAGGGAAAAAAAGTAAAATGATTTATCAACAATATGCTTTCTTTGTTGCTAATCTGCTATCTATAAGGTTAATATGGTTTCGATTTTATTGATTAATATAACAACAAAACAAACCATAATTCACAAAATAAGGATAGTTTTTGATTTTTTATACCGGGGATATACAATATATTATAAAATTAGCTAAATAATAATAATAATAATAATAATAATAATAATAATAATAAATATGCTAAAATTATTACAGTTGTTATTAATATATAGGGTAAATAATTTTTTCCAATTTGTACTATACGTGCTTTTGAGATTTTTAAGTCTAATGTATTTTTTGTTGTAAAATGCAACTTGAACTACGTATATACAATTATTTGTACGCTCAACTACTTTTTGACCGTTCGATCATCTGCAAAAAAGAATACGTGTATGGACAAAATGTGGTCGAACGTGCAAATAGTGACTGTATATGTAGTTCAATTTGCATTTTACAACATAAAATACTTTAAGTTGAAAATCCCAAAAACACGTATATTAAATGTTGGAAAATATTTACCCTAATATATATTATATTTTAAAAAATATTTTCTTTGGTCATATTAATTAACTATTATGAGTCACGTGCAGTGCACGGGTAAAAGATATTTAATAATATTTATAAATTAAAAAATATTATTCAATAATATTTACAAATATTGAATCAATATGTAATACAAATTATCTATATTAATTTATTGAAGGTGTTATGTAAAGATTAAATTGTGCAAAATTACATAAAATGTCTATTTAAAATTAGTACACAACCCGTGCGGTGCACATAACTGATAATAAATTATATTATATCGTTTCAAAATATGTGTTATTTCAAAATTTTTATTCAGAAATACAATTTGATTATAATGTGATTCCTAAAATAGTTATTTTGGTAAAAATTTATCATAAATTTAACAACATATGTGAATACTGAATAATAAGTATAAATATAAAATTTTTATTGTTTCATTACTTAAAATAATTTATTTTTGTATAAGCTATTCAAATAAAAAAAAAATTAGTAGTTGAGTAATTTATTAAACTGTAAATAATTGACTATTCCGATCACGTCCAAATTAATATTGACTCATAAGTTATTGAATGTTTTATTAAACCATAAATAATTGACTATTTTATTTACGTCCAAGTTAATATTGACCCGTAAGTTATGAATAATTATTTTTTTATTTTCAAGTTTAAATTAAAATATTTTTATCTTTGTTTTTTTATATATTATGCACCAAATTTAAACCATGTAACTAATAAATATAATAGCTGCAAGTTTTGTCAATATGTTATATTTCAAATTTAAATTATGCAGTTAATAAAGATAATAGGCGCAAAACCAAATTGATTTCGTACATTAATTTATGAGGATTTTTTTTTTAAAATTTAGTAAAAAAATTACTCAATTTAGTAAATCTGAATTTTTAGGTAGGAAACCAAATATTTTTTTTTTATTCATTTTTAGTTACTATTTCTAGTAAATATCATTGCTTCTTTAAATGTTAATAGATAATTTCTATTTATTTCAATAATTATTAAATCAATTAAACTATACTCCCTCCTTTTTATTATTTGTCGTTTTGAGAAGCAACACATAATTAAGAATTTTTTCCTTGCCAATATTAACCCTATTTAATGGATGTTATGGGAAACTATAGAGAATGGATATAAAGAAACACCGTGCACTGATGGAGGGTTAAAAATAGAAAAATATGAACAAAATAATCAAAACGACATTTATTTAATCAATGATCCATTAAGCCAAAATGACAGATAGTAAAAATATGAGGGAGTATCTATAATGGCATGATTGGTATACTGGAATAGAATTTCGTAGGAATGGAATGAACAGAAGAATGGAATGATTATGGGAATGGAATGAAGCAAGTTTTGTCATTGATGCGTTTGGTATGCAGAAGGAATAAGACCTGAATGGAATGACATTATCATTTTTTATTATAAAAATAAAGAAAAGGTTTTTTTTCAAAAAAAATATTTTTTTAATAAATTATATATAAATGATTTTTTTAAATTATATGTAAAAATAAAATAATATATTTTTAATAATATAAAAAATAATATATTTTAAAAAAATACAAAAATAAAATAATATATTTTTAAATTATAAATAAAAATAATATATTCTTAAAAGTAATATATTTTTAAATATAAGAAATAATATATTTTTATAATATATATTTTTATTTTTTAATTAAACAATAAATAAAAGTAAGTTTTGAATTTTTTTTATTTGAATTTTATTTTTCAAAATAATATATTTTTAATAATATATAAAGATAAATATTAATATATTTTTAATAATATATAAAAATAAAAATTAATTTATTTTTAATAATATATATTTTTAATATTTTTTAATACTAAATTTTTAATAATATATTTTTAATAATATATAAAAAATAATATATTTAAATTATATATAAATGTTTTTTTAGCTTTATTTTTGTATAAGTATTTAATATATCTAAATAAACAATAAATAAAAGTAATTTTTCAATTTTTTATTTGAATTTTATTTTATAAAATAATTTTATTTAATATATTTTAATCATGATTTATAATATATATTATATATATATTTATTATTATTTTTGTTAATTTTATTTTTTGAAAAATTGATTCCTACACAAATGGGAATGAGAAAACCTTCCATGAACTAAGGAATGACTAATCCCATGGAGATGGGTTTTGTCATTCCCATTGGAATGGTAATTCCTTTAAAAAATGTATACCAATTATAGGAAAGGGAATGAGTGAAGGAATGATCATTCCATACCCATGTCATTCCTTCATACCAATCATGCCCTAAAGAATTGTTAGTAGGGAATGAAAGTTCTTTGCTTTCACAAATATCTAAATGATTAAGATGAACGGGGTTTTAAATCACACAAAATAATATTCTTTTAATTTTAATAATTATTATATTAATTAATATCTATCTTGAGATTTTTCGTTGGCAAATTATGGTTTTATATTCGTGAATTCATCTATTAATATATAAATAGAAAACTAAATATCATTTGGGTTTTAAAATATTATCAACTAATATACCATATCCAATTAATGGGATTTTAAACTCTTATCAATTAATATTCCAGTTATTTTGAAAAATCTATGCATTGTTTAATATTAATAGATAGATATATAAAAGAATTCAATATAATGTGTATTTTATAGTATTTTTTAATTTATGTTTAATATCAGTTATTCAAAGCTTGAAAATAAGTTTAGGACTCCCGATTTTTAATTATCTGATATGATCAGAAACTAAAAATATCTATTGAATATTATCTGATAAGATAAGAGTTTAAAAAATATTAATGTCTATCATGTAGAGAGTGTCCACAAAATTGGGAGTCCTAAAAAAAATTGGGAGTGTCCACAAAAATTCAACTTCAAATTAGCAAAAAAATCAAATCATCCACTAACTAAACATCCACTAAATTTTGAAATCAAACCGTCCACAAAAATCGTCCACAAAAATATTTTGAAATCAAACCATCCACTAAAATTTCAAAACATATAAATTTTCAAAACATCCACTACATTTTGAAAAATTAAATAATTAAATAATCAAATCGTCCACAAAATTTCAAATTAGCAAAAAAATAAAAACATCCACTAAAGACCGGCAAATGAAATTTTTCAATAGAAAGTTACTATATTTAGTTAGTTTTTAGGCGGGATTTTCATTTATTTTTTTTGCTTACTATTTTAAAATTATGTAGGTTATCTCTTTATATAATAACTAGTAATTCTTCCTGTGCATAGGCACAGAATAAAAAAAAAAAAAAAAGAAAAAAAAAACTTTTATATAAAGATAACAACTAAAATAAAAATTAATTAGCAATATGTATCACATTTATGATTTAATTGTTACATTAACTTAGCGAGTTATTTGAGAATTACTTTATTTTAACTTAATTGTAGAATTTATTAAATACAATAAATAAAAATATGAAGTTTGCAATATACTAAGGACAATTGTTTTATGAATTGAATATATTAAATAATATAATTTTTTATATAATTTGAGTATTTTAATAAAAATTATTACAGTACGGACAAAGTAAAAGAGAAAAAAAAAGACAGTATAAATCTTATATATCATATAAATGAATCTTTTATAGGTTTTCCATAAAAACAAATACAGGCCGATTCTACCATGTATTAGAAATGATATATCATAATATTATATAAAAAAGAGATATGTAGTAGCATTTTTAGGTTTTATTTATTGCTCTACATATATATTTACAGAATATAACATTACTTACTATTTATCAGTATAACAAAAAACACATTAAATCACTTTCTAAAACATAACTGTTACAATTTTTACGTAACATTATGATACTTTATTACATCATTAAATTACTCTTAAAAAATAATAAAATTAAAATGTAACATCTTTTGGCGGGAAAATGCCACGTAAGTATAATTTAATAAGTTTTATTAAATGTTCGTGAGCCAGTAATTATATATATATAGATAGATACATTTTATACAATATTATTGTGATATATATGATGATAAATGTAAATAATTTTATCATATTTTTCCCACTTTTGCCTTGGCCTCGTCTAAACACGTTAGGCGCTAGGCTCTCCCTGCCGTCTAGAGAGCTCCCATCGTCTTTTAGAACATTAAGAATAAACTAGAGTGACACGAGTAAATAA